GCAGTCGTGAGTTCAATCCCCGGTACCGATAAAAAGGAAAAAGACAAAAAAAAAAAAAAGTGAAAAGCTACCAAATGCTAACAAGGATGTGGAGAAAAGGGAAATCTGTATGCTGTTGGTGGAACTGTGGGTTAGTATAGCCATTATGGTAAACAGTTTGAAAGTTTCTAAAGTATTTAAAAATAGTCCTACCATTTAACCCAGCAATATCTCTTATGGGTATAAACCCAAAGGAAATGAAATAACCACTTCATAAAGATATCTGCACTCCTATATTCATTGCAGCATGATCCATAATAACAAAGATAAGGAAGCAACCTAAATATTCATCATTATATAAATGGATAAAAAGTTATGGTACATATTTATAAAGTAATACTACTCATCCCTCTTCAGTCTTTTCAGGAACAAGTTATTGCCTTGGGCCACAGCACAGATAAACCTGGAAGACATTATGCTAAGTGAAATGGGCCAGAAACACAAATATATGTATATATTCCACTTATATGTGGAATCTGAAAAAATTCAAATATACATAGATAGAAAACAAAGCAGTGGTTACAAAGGGATGGGGGAGGAACTGGGGAGATGTAAATCAAGGATATAAAATAGTGAAAATATAGGATGAACAAGTCTATAGAACCAATGTACAACATTAGTGTTATAGGTAATAAACCTATACACATATAGAATTCATGCTAAATGCATTGATTTTAGCTATTTCCATTAAAAAGAACACCTATGTAACATGATAGATATTTCATTTGCTTTATTATAGTAAAGATTTTACTATCTATCTCCAGTAACATCACAGCTGCACAATGTAAATATACATAATAGAACTGTTAAAAGCTAACATTTGAAGAAAGAATAATTGATACCTAGTTAGTGCAGGGTTTCAGGGTTAAATTTTATATCTCTTTACCCTGGCTAAACCCAGGATATTTGGCTTTCATTAAGGGAAAATAGACTTTTAACTAGTTCAAGTGTCTGTAGAGTTAAAGGAGAATAAACATTCTAAGAACAGGAGACTTGATGTGGAGTATTCTAGATATTTTTGAGGAGGCATACTGTTCAATACTGTTCATTATCATACTCTGGTCAATAAATATTTTCCATGGGGAAAAGAGCTGCTTAAGGTTGATTTTTTTTTTTTTTTGAAGAGATTAACTCTAAAGGACATATGTGGGATAGAAAAAAAGAAAAATTGTGAATATGACCTTGTAAAACTACAAAGTCAGAAATAAGTGTTTCTGTGTGTACAATGTCAATGCCTATTGACATGTATTACATATCCTATGAGTAGGCACTGGGTACAAAGCATATTTTTTAAAAAATAGGAGCCACCATTAGATGTCTCCTCCAAGAGGCAGTGTCATGCTGAGAGGATGCCCTGTGATACAGCAATTATGCCACTAGCTCCAATGAAAGCTAGGTTTTTGCTCCTGAGGGAAACATGATTGCTGAGAACAATCTCAAAATGTGTACCGTTGCCCTTTGTGTTGGATGTGTGCTCTTCCCAGGTATACTCTCTACCTCTATCAACTCTGTTCTTTGTTCATAGAAGGTGAATTTATGAACTGTTTCACTGGGAAGACTTGCCTTCAGGAAGGTGTTGGGATTTAGCAAGCTTTCATGGAGTGATACTGCATAAACAACAACCTGAGATTATTACACTATCTATTTCCATTTAGTGTTATGCAAGAATATAGGGTAGGTGAATTCTGTGCTTTGTATGTGAGGACAACCTGGATGACTCTCCTTGACTAAAGAGCAATTACCTCCACTTTGGCTAGCCCTAGCTAACTGATCTAAGTAATGTAAATAGGGCTATTTGAGATGTTGATGTGTAATCTTTGAACCTAGTGACAGTCACTGTTTCCCTACGTGTGTCTCCCATCAAATAGTGGTTGAGCCTGGTGGAATGCAGAGCTAATGCTCCAGGACATTTAACTGGGTTCAAGCTTTGAGATAAGAGGCCATGATTTCCCAGGGCAGAGAAGTTTGCACATCAGACACCTCCAAGACATTAAATATTACCTCAATAGTGTTATGCAGATTGGTCTTTCTACATATTTTCTCTGAATAGTCTGATTCTGGCCTCCTAGCTATCCCAGCTCACAGTACTCATGTAATTATTGCCATTTTCACAGTCATTCATCCTCTAGCCACTCCCTTCTTCATGAATTAAAACCTGGATTAGGCCCTGGATCAAGGCCTTTGTTTTGTGAACTTCCATCTGAACCAGACTCAGGACCCTTTGGCCCCCTCACGAATATAAATGTTTAGTTTCTCCAGTGTAACTACACTGGAGGTGGTAAATTGGAATTTTCTCACTAGAATTCCAATAACATTTCCATGAGGTTACAAATTTAAACTTCCTGGACCATGATGAGGACAGGAAAGTGATCTCTATATTTGTGGCACAGCTGCAGGTATGAAAACACTGTCTGTCTTCTCAGCAAAGGACTCTAGTCAAAGGGTCAGTCACTCTTAAGGTATACCAGACAGTGTGGTCTAGATTTTTCTTCCCTGTGTTAGTTACCTTTCTCTTGTTGCTGAGACGAAAATATCTAATGCTCAAAATTAAGGAAGGAAAGGCTTATTTAGCTCAAAGTTTGTGGCGGTTTCAGTCCATAATCAGCTGGCTCCTAGACAGGGTGTCATGGCTGAGGGGTAGCAGTTCAAGGTGGCAAAACACAGCAAAATCAGCAAGAGCAAAAAGAGGTAGAGAAAGCCTCCTTTCTTCCCTTATATTGTAAGCAGGCTACCCACCCTAGGTTGGATTGTAGCCCTCGCACTAGCTGCATGACCTTCTCTTTCACAGGTTAGGATGTTTACAAAGTGAGGACCCTGGCCCCCCTGCTGAACTACTTAGTTAAGCTTCTAAACTTCTCAAGTTGACACAATATATCACCCATTAAACTGATTTTCTTTTTTACCAGGTCTCTTCTCTGTGGATTGGTAGATTCTCTTAACGGATCTGTACCTGATATGCTCTCCTATAGCTTTCTGAGAACAGCCCCTGCTCCTTCTTCATGACTCTTGACCATAGGAAACAGGACATTCTTAATAGAGAGCCCTGTGAAAACCTTGATCTTTGTCTGATGGGCCTGGAATGAGACTTCTGGCTTTCAGAAATATGAGAGTATAAATTTGTGTTGTTTTTCATATGCTTGTTGGCCATCTATCTGCCTTCTTTGAAGAAATATCCATTCATTGTGTTTGTTTATTTTAGGATTGGATTATCTTTTTGGTTTTGACTTTTAAGAATTATTTATATATTCTGCATACTAGATTTTTATCAAGTATATGATTTGAAAGTGTTTTCTCCCATTTTGTAGGTTTTCTTGATAGTGTCCTTGAAAAACAAACATAATTATAATAAAGTCCAATTTACCTATTTTTGTTGTTGCTCATAACCTAAAAATCCTCACTAAATATAAAGTCATGACGATTTAGCCACTAAATTTTCTTCAAAGAAATTCCTAGTTAGTTTAACTTTTATATTTAGTTTTTTAAAAAACTATTTGGATTCCTTTTTACAATACTGGGAAGTAGGAATTCAACTTTATTCCTTTGAATGTGGGTATACAATTGTCAAACAATCTGTCAAAAAGATTAGTCTACAAAACCATTTCTTTCTTCATTGATTTTGGCCCTTTTGTCAAAAATTAGTGGACCATAAATGTGAGGGTTATTCCCCTACTTCCAGATTGTTTGTATCACTGAAAGTTCTAAAAGGGTCACATCACTGAGCCTAGCTGTTACTTGTCACTTCTTCCTATTTACTGCATTTGGCTGAATTCCTGATCAGCACCGCTTGTTTTAGCATTCTGCCAACTTGCCTTTCTTCCTCAGTGTTGTTATTCAAAGGGTATACACAGCCTTCTTCCTTCATTTCTTACAAATATAACACTACAGACTGTAGCAAATGACTGCTTAAGTTTGAGGATGATAAAAGAGTTTTACTCTATGGAAAAAACAACAAAAACACAACTTTAAATTGGTAACAGACTACAGCTGCTTTTTCTCAGAAGGGGACTCTATCACAATTGTCCTTCCTGAGCCCTGGCCAGCCATTCACTGCTCTCATTTCCTATTTCCCCTAAATTTCAGAACCCCACTCTTACTCAATATGCTCTTGAGGAAACTAAAAATTTCCTGTTTAAAACTTCCCCTACATTTAACAGAACATATTGTTCTGCCCCTGCATTTCAAGTTCACCTTTTTAAATTTCAATATTTGAATAGCTGTTAAGGCTTGGTAGGCCTGTGGATATATAACAAAGAGTTTCATCACCATATCCTTCTAAGCACAACAGCAGTTTTCCTTCCAATGTATGACCATAGGACATAAGAACAATACAAATTTTAAAAAAGCACCCTTTGTCCCTTTATTTCCTAGTACAGTTATATTACAGATACCAAAAGAAATGAAAGAGACTAGAATTTCATAAAGTATCTACAGTGTAGGATTTGCTTTTATAACAGAAGTGATATATTCTGTGAGCTTTTTGGAACAAATGAAAGGACAATGAACACTGCAGAGTAGGAAGCAGGTTGGGTATACTGGCATGTGTGGAATATCTGAGAGCTTTTATTTGCTGATAAGTGGCAGACTTCTGATATGCAATAGGGAGTAACTCTTATTATAAAGGACTTTACAAAAGAACTTTGACTTCTTAGTGAAAGTTGCAAATAAAGAAGCCAATGACCGAAAGTGAAAATACACAAGATAAAATAATTTCAGTATGAATATGGAAGTCAGAAAGTGATGTTGACAAGATGTAACTTTATTGGCTGTTTAGATATTAAAACACAGCTAGACTCTCACCCGTCCAGCTCTCTCTTGAGCCCATTTGATTTTCTGCCAAACTTTCTGTAATAAAAAGTCTTCAGGCTCCATGAACAGAGAGGAAAAAGCAAGCAGAGAAATCACAAGATTCCAAGGTAAGCGTAACACCAACCTTGTGAGAGATTTTTTGGTCAGGTTTTACAAAGATAGATTTTGTAACATAGAAAACTGTTTGTTTGTTTGTTTGTTTGTTTTTCCTGAAAATAGTATTAGACTAATTTGTTATTATCATTATTGCAAATAGAAGTAAAAATTGATAATAATTGTTACTATAATTCCATTTTGCTTTTTTTGAGTGATTTGTAAATTTATGAATAAACTGTCTAAATAGATTACAATGGTCTTTAAAATAAATGTTCCTTTCCTCCATCAATAAAACAAAAAATTTGATCATTCTACTTCAAACTCTTAATGCTTAAACAAACCTATGAGCAATTATTTACAAGTGGTTTTCAGTAAAAGGAGGATAACTATAAGAACTATTTTTGCAAAAATTGTGGAATTGACAACCTAAATTTGATAAACTAAAAATCTCATAAATTTTTATCACTATTCTACATTGAGAGACTTTCCTTTGAAAACTGCTTTCTTCTTTTAATGCCTTGCAGTCTGTTTCCTGGCAAATTTTCCTCCTCACATTCTTCTCTGCTTTATCTTTCCATAAGTTATTATAAGTGCCAGACAATTTTATTAAAGAATATGGCACCAAATCCAGAAGTATATACTGTGGCTGGAATGACCAGGGTTACATGTGGGTAGACCTTTTTGACTCCTACTCCTCAGCACTGTGCTTCTTCGGTTTGAATCACCTTTGCATGTCACAGTGCTACTCTGAACATCCCCACCTATTGCTTCTCCCATTAGTCTTTCAATTACCTGATAATCCTCTTTTGGTTTCTTCTCACAAAATCTATCAGAAAACTTCAGAATCCTGTGATTCTCAGTTTGAGGTCCTTGAGCTGAGTCACCCAGCTATACAATTCCCTTAAACACATAAGAATTCAGCCTGGGCATTGCTCAGCTCAGCTCAAATTTCACATTTTCCCCATTCATCTCTGCAAGAATCCTGCATTTCCTTTCCTTCCCTTTTTTCTTTTCTTTTGTTTGTTTCTTTTTTTTTTTTTTTTTCTTTTGCCTTGTCTTGCCTTGGCTTTCTTTTCTGGTGCTGGAATTGAACCCAGAGAAGAACTTTAAACTACACCCCTCTCCGCCAGATTCTTTTAAATAGTCTTACTGAGTCATTTAGGCAGGTCTCAAACTTCTGATTCTTTTGCCTCAGGTTGCTGGAAGGACAGGTATGTCTAATTTTCTCACTAACATGAATGCCTATCGCTTTGCCATCACTTTTAACTTATGTATCTATAGCTGGAATGTACCTCTGTCCTCTTTATTTATAAAGAAGGAATCAGGAGGCAAACTTTCACTAAGTGCTGAAAGTAATAGAGGAAATTGAGGGATGAGAGCTGCCACTACTGGCCAAGGTCTGCCAAAAGTTACAGAAAGAGAGCTTCCCGGAATGTGTGTAGGCTTCATCTGTAACAATTCAGCTTCACTAAAGAACTAAATTGTTGTAGAGAAATATTGCAGAGGAGGTTATCACTGGGAGAAGAAAAGATACATGTTCAAGAATATTTATGTTAGTAAATCTGCAGGTTTGTCTGCTTGCTTGTACATAGCTGATTGTGCCAAAAATCAAAGTATCTTTTGTATAATAAGTTCAAAGTTTGTAAAGACTTGGGGGACTTAAGAGTGCCAGGCTTTCCCTTTTTGTATCACAATTTGCAGAAGGGACATTTAAGAAACAAGTAGACTAAAAATTTAACTCCTTGAATAATAGAAAGAAACTTTAATTCTGTTAACAATACAAAAAGATGCTTGGTTCAGGAGCTTCAGGAAATTATGGCAGAACATCTAATTTGATTCTCCCCTCAAGGGTTTTGGTGCTAACATCTAAATACAAAAGGAAATTTTTGCTTGGGGGGGGGGGTTTCAGTGTTGTGAATTAAATCCAGAGCTCTGTATATACTAGGCAAATACTGCCTCTGAGCTACACCTCAGCCTGCCAAAGGAACTCTTAAGAAAAACCTTATAAGGCAAGCAAAGCTCATAATGAGGGAAAATAGAGGAGAATTGGACATTTGAAGCACTCTTTCTGCAGCAAACTTCTGACATATGTTGCTATTATTACTGATAATTTAGGCTGTACTTATGAAGGATTTTGTTTTTATATTTTTCAAAGAGCATGATGTAGCATAATAGTAAAATCCAAAAATTGTCAAAGGCTGACAAGCTTCAAAAATTCATTATCATTGACTAGTAACATGATTCTGGGTTTTACTTAATTTTCCTGAGACTGTGACACACCCCAAACCCATGAATATTATGAGGAAAAAAATAGCAACAGCACAACTATACTCAGAAGTATTCCAATAGATACAGCAAGTCATAAGTTACTAGGGTCTGGCCTAGATCCCCAATCTCCCAAATGAGTGTACAGTGAAGGCCTAAATAAATGAAACAAGTGGTAAGATTTTAGGGCTCCAGGAGAATCAAAACCCTCTGCAGAGTTCTTGATTCTTTGGCTAAGACGAGGGCTAAGATAAAGAGCTTCTTTTGGCTGCCCATATTTATTACAGCTCCAAAGAGAGGGGATACTGAGGAAAGTGCAGGAAATGAGCACGACCTTGAGAGTCACTTCAAAGACTTCTCCAAATAGTATTTATGCCAATTAAGAACTGCCTTATTGGAGTCAGGGGTTTGGCTTAGTGGTATAAGCACCTGCCTGGCAAGCACGAGGTCATGAGTTTGATCCTTGGTACGAAAAAAAAAAAAAAGAACTGCCTTATCTCCATAATGACTTTTATGGTTGGAGACCGCAAGAATGAGATGCCTTCAGCTGCAGTCTCTATTTACTTCATTGATGTAGGAGCCAAGGTGTCCTCCGATGTGGCCTTATATTGCCTTTTGAGTTAACTCTGACCTCATAGGCCACTACAGCCCTCAGCAAGGACCAGTGATTCATAGAGGTGCACTTACTATGAGTCAGTTCCTATTGCCAGACAAGAGGCATAGGCTAGGACAGACTGATAGATAAACATAGAAAGCCAATTAGTTAATTTTAAATCCTGCTCAGAGCTGCTTTGTAGTGGTCTCCAACAATAAGCAGTCATTAAAAGGAATTCATCCATCACTAACCCTTTACTAAATGTGAGCCATTTAGCCCACTTTATCCTGTGTAATCTTCACATACCTATGTGAGATAAATATTATCTTCTCCATTTATGAAAATAATAAAGTAAGATGTGGAAAGACTGTAATAACCCAAGATGACAAAGTTAGCAAGTTTTGGGTCACATATTAAAATCCAGGGCCAAGTCCCATTTAGGAAAAAGGACTAAGAAGTAAGAACAATTCTAAATTACTTCATTTAGTGTGTCTCTAATCTTCCTTGGGAAGCCCATATTTTCATTCAGACTTTTCATCATTTTCGGATTTAAACAAATATGAGTGAGATAACATTAAACATCCTACCTACTTTTTCAGAGTTACATTCACTGTAACCTGAGGGAAAGGCTAGCTGCAAGGCACCATTTGCTGATGTAACTTCTTTAGCCATTGCTGTTGCTATGAACCAGAAGAAGGAAAACCACAAACTTGACTGGCTGCCTTACTTTTAATGAGTATCCAGTCTATATTCATTCCCTTCCACTTTATATAACTCATAAATTAAATGATTGTCTAAATTTTTCCTACCGATATTAGGACATGTGAGACTACACTAAAAATGTAATTTTAAGAATGTTTTCCTCATTATTTCTCTAGAGTTCTTAATAAAGACTCAAAATTTTCCTACAGAGTTTAACAGAACTTCATAGTTTTGTGTGTTTGCTGTGCTCACATTTCAACCACCTTAGCTTCTTAGGTGCTAGTTTTCTCAATGGAAGTTGTTTAATAAATACTATTTAAACAGTTTATAATTATTTTCTTTCTTTCTTTCTTTAAGGCACAATGTCACTATTAATCCAGGTTGGCTTTAAATTCACTACATAGCCCAGGCTAAAGTTTCACTTGAGTTCTTACCTCCGCCTTCAGGAGGCTATATATTCAGTTTAATTGCCAGAAACTCTCATTATTTATGAGTGAAAAGCCTTAATTTTTACACATTTCATAATAATTAAGTTAATATTACCTCATACACAATTCTTGGTATTAGTGAGCAGCCATTTATGGGAGAAAATTAAATGGTTTATCTAGGTGTGATATTCATTTAACAGCTGGTAGAGTAAAAGCAAAAATAATTAAGAAAGGAACCTGTCAGATTTTCCAGTCCTTTATTGAAGATGCAAAGAAGAATTCACAACTCACAAGGTTTTTCATCTGACATCCAGGCAAAGGGAGCTGTTTAAATGGACTTTAGTCAGAGGTAGAGGCTGAGAGGCTTGGGGTAGGTGGTTAGTGATGTGTCAGAAGATTATTGGAGTTTTCTTCATGAGCAAAAAGGGAATAAGGAAGTTGTATTCAGGACTGAGGGGAGAAGGAGAAGGAAGACAAGCTGTTGTTATTTTTTTCTGGTCTTCCACCATGTCAGACCACTACCAAAATATTCAGCAATTTATACTTTGGCAGAAACCTTTCAAAACCAACCTTACACAACTAATTCAGCCCATGGAAACTACAAACTGAATAGAGGTACTGGAAGGGACTCTAGCTCTTAACTCACCAGTTAACTTGGGAAGGTGTGGCAATGAAGGTGTTGTGATACCCGTAAGGTTTTACAGAACTTTTAACAATCTATTCTATAACAGCTGTGTTTCTTTTCCTATATAACAAGCATATACCAAACGTAGGAGAGACTAACATAGCTACAGCCTTTGTACAAGGAAAAATTTTCATATATCATATATTTATAATTAAATTCTAAATAAAAATAATCTGAAATAATATTTTGATTAGAAAAAAACTTTAGTTCCTTTTGTCTTTTGAACAGTACTATAGATTTAGGCTTTTGTTATTGTTGTGGCTGACTCACTTTAATTGACTACAGTATTTTTATTCTTCTGAGCCAAATTGTCATAATGAGTCAGACATGTTCGTTGACAGCTACAATCCCAACTGCTCATTAGGCTGAGGCAAGAGAGTTATCAAATTCAAGATCAGCCTGAGAATAAAGGAGATTATCTTGAAGCAACTATGGTCAACAAATTGTCATAATTTGAAATGTAGAAGTTCTTCTATGCAGGCTCATTGTCTTTTTAAAACTACCTCATAATTTAAAAATGCATCGTAGTTTTTAGGCAACAAGTTGTGTTGTTTTTGTTTCTTTTGGTACCAGATATCAAACTCATGACCTCACACTTATCAGAAAAGTGCTTGAACTGTTGAGCTAAATCCCCACCCCACCCCCTTTTTTAAATTCTGAAAATGTTGATATTGATTTTTTACTTGAAGACTATACTGGAGAATAACAAAACTTGGATTAACAAATCATTGCATAAACAGAATGTTAACTAAAGTTTAATTTTCTTTTTTTAAATGCAGTTTTAGTCTTGTTCTGACAAAAAGGATTTTCCATTTGTCTTTTCTATCTTCAGACATATTATGCTTTCTCACATAAAGTATACTTCATTGATTTTTATACATCAATTTATATATCCTGTTGTAACATTTTCTTTAAAATATAACATTATTTAGATGTTAAAAATGTAATTTAACTCTATTTAAAGCTATTAAGTCAGTACTATATCACAATAGTTGTTTGTCATTTCAAAATTTAGAAAATGTCAGTATAGATTACACTTAGGACAAAGAAATAGAGAATCTGTATCATTTGATAAGCTTTTAGCTACAATAACAGAACACCAAACTGAACATGGCTTAAAACTTAATGACACTTGTTTACTTCACAAGTTCTGAGTCAGAAGGTCCCATAGTACAAAGACACAAGAACCTGGGATCATCAAGGACTCAGACTTTTCCCACACGTCTACTCTGCCATCCTCAGTGTCCATGGTCTTTTCCTTCACGGGAAAAGATAACCAGCCTGGAATGCCCTGTCCTTACAGCAGTAAAAAGCACTTCCTTCTCACTTGCCTCTTATTCAAGGAGAAAAATTTCTAAGTCCCAGATTGAATTCATCTTACATCTCACTGAGCAGATCTGAAACACAGATCTACTCATAGACCCAGTGTTGAGAGGTTGAAATAAGATAGTGTGCTTGTATTTCTTCGTATTTCTTCTTAGGAAAACAAGAGGTTCCTTAGCTCAGATATAATGTTCATATTCAGTGACTTTCAAT